CAAATTGCCGATAGGTCCCTCAAAGATTCAGTTAAAGCATTGAATTTATTTTATGTGTATGATTGTTTTCAATCTCCTGACGTGTTTTATTGCCTTGTTCTATCTCCTTGGAAATTAAATGCACTATCAATTTCCTTCTCTGGGTCATTAGAAGTGGATAGTAAAGAATTCCCGTTATGTTCAGCCATTTGTGCTTGACTTCGTGGGGGATTTGAACGTTATAGATATTCGTAAATGTGCCTCATCTTAAATAGTGCCCCGTAAATATCTTTCTGCTTGTGTGTGGCATTGTCTGCCTCAAAATCCTCGTTTAGTTTATTGTTTCTTGTGTGAGGACTTAGGAAGTCTCCCAATGCTCATAAAAGTACTGTATTTTGAATTTCAATAGATACACTTCTGTCTAATACCTCATTTTGTCATACTTGGTTTTCAACGTCATGACTTATTTCTTCAATTGTTTGGCTGTCATCAAGTCTAGGTTTTACGACGATAATTCTCTTTCTATAGTTCCCAAATTAACATATTTAGAAGGGAATTCCATAAATTCTGATAAACACCACAATCTTACGACACCCAATTACAATAAACTTATTAAAATATTACTATCATTTGGAACTATATCTTAGTTTAACTTCAGAATGTCATTACATTAATCAATATTTTGTAATATCGACCAAATTGCCGTGACAATGAAGACCAATTTCCTAAATATTCGTGACACGGTTTTAAGACGGTCCTAATAGGATTATAGGAGGCGTCAATGCGCCCTACTATTCGTAATTCATCGTAATACTGTTAAAGGATTATACGGTTTGTAATCAAGGCTAACTGTAATCGCATACCTGGATAAAGGCGTTGATTTATATTAATGGGCTTCCATATAAAATTTTGTTTTTATTGTACTAATTCGATGGGATTAAGAACGATTGAGACAGATGTATTTTTCTACCAAATTATCAACTTTTTGGATGATTAATTTTGTTAGTCATTATTGCTTTGTTGGTGTTGACCGACAATGTTAGTGGGCACACCACACATAATCTGAAGAACATGGCCCATTCATCAACCGGTATTCTAATTTCTTGACTGAACTTCACCGAACGTCACTTAAAAGGTAATTACTTGACTGGTGTTATTTCATCAATGAATTAATTAATATTATTCTATTTTTAACTATTGCCGTCTGTATCCTAGAGTAACGTTTTACACAATTATTTACCATACAATTAAAATTCCGTGTTGGTACATCGCATTCCATAAATGGAAATTCATAGTCCCGTCAAATTTTATGTCCTTTCGCCAGGGGGGCTGCTCGACAACTCTTTAGCATGCAAATGCTACGCGTGACATATTAAAGCTACGTGCATCGTTGGCCACGATCCAATGATTAACCTAGCAATCATGGTAATTGTGAAATGATATATGAGAAATTAGACTGCCTCGTTGGCCGAGTGGTCGCAAGTGCGACTGCCGGGCAAGGGGTCTCGGGTTCGATTCCCGGGTCGGGCAAAGTATTACTGGGTTTTAAAAAAAAAATCTCAGTAGTAGCACGGAGTCTGGAATTGTGCCCGGTATATGGCAATAGGCTCACCCCCTATTACATGGGACTCATAACATAAATAGTGAAAAAGTGGGTGTTACTTTATACAGTGGTATAAAAATGCACCTCTGCCTACCCCTTCGGGGATAAAAGGCGTGATGTTATGTTATGTTATATAGACTTATTTCTCTTACTACATAGTTCACTGTTAGTTGTTCTGACATCGTTGTTATTGTAATCTTATCCTCAATACAAACTACCATATTTATCTAAGCTGCAATTTAATATTATAGCTGTCTGTGCCTCTCCTTTCTTTATAACAATTCCAAAAGATTAATACGCTTTTATAAAAGTACGTTCATTCGTTAGCCGTATCATTGCATTATCTTATTTATTGTTGTCTCCGCCCACAAACTTAGATGTTGCGACTTTTAGCAATTTCTCATGATTTACCCTGTCTTCTGAATGGCCTGTTAATACTGGGTCTACTTTTTGCTCTGACTTGCAACCGGTCAGGACCGCTTCGCTTGTTTTATTGCACCTATAAACCACTATAAATAATTTCACTTAGAACAAGCGCGCGTTATAGACAACGGCTTAAAACTTTTTGCATAAAATCAAATAGCTCCATTTATGCATGAAGACTTTTCGCTTCTTTGTTTGTGTTCAATCGCGTGGGATTATGAGCAGGTGATACATTCATTTGCAGATCTGCATAGAACAAGCAAGACGCAGCAGTATTAAAAATAAATGCTGTAAGGATTGTGATACTACATATTTTATTTATGTGAAAATATGCATCGGTCTGATGACATTCATAACTTTATTAATAGTTTTGCAGAAATATATTTTCTGTTACGATGAACATGAGTTTAAACTAGACAGGTATTATGGTGTGTATGATGAATGATACAACATAGGACACTAGCGTACGCTAGCCACGGACACTAGCGTACGCTAGCTACGCGTAACTTACTGATTTTTTTTTAATTTTTTTTCTTATACAAAACAGAAACACAGCGTAATACACAACAGAGTAATAACATAAAACCGTAAATGGCAGACCATGCTCACAAGTAAAGCAAGCAAGTTTCACAAATTAGAGTTATTGCCTATTTTAGTTATTTATAATTTTAATCTATTACTTGAGTTTAAAAAAAGCATGTCTCGAGGCGACTATTTTCCTTATTACTCTGTTGCATTGACTTACAATTGTACTTGACCGTACTCTTAATGAGAATTTACAATGCTTGCAAGCAAAGGTGTTCCTTTGTTACGTTCAGTGATGTAGGATTTAGGAAGTGGATTTACGAAACTTTGAACGTAATAATAGGTAGTTTATGCGTGCCCTAATTTATATTAAACAGGACTTTGTAGTTGAATTATGAAATGTCGTGCAAATGTCTCTAGTCTTTACATTGTACACAAGAACTAGAAATTGTAACGCATTCATGCGTAAAACCAGAAACCCACAATACTGCGGATGAAGTATTACGGCATCGCGGCTAATGAGGGCTAAGCCAGTTTCTTAATTAAAGTGATATCTTGGATGTTAAGTAGGAAATATAAAATATATCAGTATAAGTAACAGTAAAGATTACAAAATGAAATGGCATCTAAAGCAACATGAATCCATACATTCGCTGAATATCATCTCAACAAAGTAATCTGCCTATAAATTCCAATATAATGCAAACCAAGGCTTTGAGGTCTTAAGCTTCCAAACGATAAATTGACTGGAATATCAATACAAAGACTAAATTTATACTACATCATTTATTTTTATACTTCACCTGGTGAGATTTCAATGATTGTAAATTGCATTAAGATATAAATGGTTTTGTAAAATGTTCCCAAGGCTGTGCCTGTTTGCTTAATCGTGAGAATTGGAGGTGCGATAGCTATGTTGTTTGTAATCCGATTAATGTTATCTATTTCAGAAAGTCCAACTAGAAGTTGGTAGCCTGCCATGTTGACATGTAAAATATTGTTGGAAACAGTAACATTTGTAACTACCACAAATTTTGACTGGTTAAGTTATTGACTGACATTGACTACTTAATCTTTGCTCCTTTCAATCTCCAAGGTTCAAACAGCAAGAAACTATTCATCATCCTAACCTAAATTATAGTGCATGAATTTTGAGAAAGGATTTTTAAATTCATTGCGAAACTATTTCGTTGCAGCTCCTATGAGTATTAAGTTCGTGGACAGCTGAACTGATGTTATTTTGCCAATAAATATCACGTAATGGTATTTTGCTTTTAAGAGCTTTTTCTGCTATAATGACTACCGTGATATCTGCATCTCATCTTCATTATTTATCACTCACCTCCTAAAGGTTTACTGTTATTATGCGAGCGATAAGTAACAGCCTTTAATGCTTCTCTGGTATTTCTAGGGGCTTCGAAACTCACGGCGAATATCTTATTTATTATTATTTAAATCTCTTGATCGCAAATTTTCGCATTACTATCAATAAAGTCTGAGCTATTTGCATTAATATTAGATGTTATTACAAATGTGAGAATGAGTTTGCTCCACTTATGGATTTAACTGGATTATTCCACTTAGTAGTTTACGTATCCTATGTTTTGCAATACGAATGTAAAATTTCATGTAGATAGGATTGATATTATCAATCGAGATCTGAATTGTATCCACTAATCCGAGATGTTTTGAAAATACACATTCTAGTTTAAACTTACATCATAATCCAGGCCGATTGCTATCTTAGATATTTCTATAACCTAATTTTCTGAAACAATTCCGCAAAGAAATATTTCATCATCAGCATTAACTTGTTTTATTGGATCTTGAAGTTGTTTTATTATAATTTATAGCCATCGATTACGAGCTTTCTCATTACCATCATTGAGATCTGATCGAAGCGTTAATTTGTTAGCTGAGCGCGTTTTTATCGCGATATTGCTTGTCAGTTTACCGTCGTCATTTGCAGCCGTGTTATGCTTTAGCAACATGAGTTGTCGATGAACTGCGTTTCCTATTACATCTAGTAGCGATTTATTATCTAGTTTGTTATTATTTTGTTATTCTATTACGCTTACTGTTTGTTCGTGTGTTATATCATTTATTTTGTCTTTAGATGAGTTAGTGAAAACACGTTGGGGTATTGTTCTTTACTATTGTACGGCTATAGAAGGGCTGTTGTTTTCTATTGTGTTTAATAATGCTGGGTTTTTAGTTAGTTGTGTTATTTTCATTCTGTGTTCAATGTGGATAGGTTGGTTTGTTGAATATATTATTATGATTTAGTGAAATTACATTTATTATGGATTTGTTTTCAGTGCGTGGTTAGTCACATTGTGAGGATTTTATAGTATTGAAGTTTGCAATTAAAGTTAGTTCGTTTTCTCTCTCTTTTGGGTTTATTAGTTTTTACTTAAGGTTTATTGAAAAAACATTTTATCAATTTTATATTCTTTATTGTTACAGTGAGATGGCGCGGTGGAGAGCGCTCCAGCATGGACGATCAACGGCTTGCCTTGTGTTCTTCTGCTTACTGCAAGTGGCGAGGGCAACGCCCGGTAAGTAATTCTCTACTATTTGCATTAATTGAACTTACCTTGCAATCTGATCTGAAACAGTTGAATTTTGCAATTGAACCATAAGGTTTCCCATGTATTCAGCTGGATTTCATTTTCATTGACATGAATGAGAATTTACCAGTACACATTAACAACCTGTAAGTGACCACTGCTGACCAAAGGCCTCTTCGCACACGGAGAAGGTTTGAGCATTAATCACTGCGCTTGTTCAATGCGGGTTGGCGATTTCAAACTTATAATTAAAAATTATAAGCCCAGGTTTCTTCACGACGTTTTTCGTTCACCGTTTGTCAGTGGTGTCTAAATAATCTTAGCAAGTACATATAACTCGGAAAATGTCACATTGGTACTTCGCGTGAGAAATTTAAACCTCCGGGCCACTACGACATTTTACCAGTAAGAATCCTAATAATACTTTTCAATTTATTAGGATTCTTTAGATTAGGATTCCCAAATTCAGGGATATCATTCTTCAAAATTACCTATGTTACTTAAATATTGTAAAAACCATACACCCATTTCCCTTTCTCGATTACCGTTAATACAGTAGAACACAGTATGTTCCGATGTATTTACGAGTAATCAACCCAAGCTTCCGATATCGACTGTAAAATAAACGACTCTAAAGATGGTAATGGAAATCTATTCCAGGCTAGACTTTATGATGTGTCCAACTCTAGGTTTATGGTGAAATTCTTAATTCAAATCAGTTAAATCAAAGTTTCAGTGTTGTAAGTAATGACTACAACGAAATAGTGATGTTGCCAATAAACGATTTTGTTGCTTTACGAAATAAAATCTATTGTTATCTATATTTTTAATAATATTGATTAATATTATCGACTGCCTTGTTGGTCGAGTGGCCGGGTAAGCGGTCTAGGGTTCGATTTCCAGGCCGGGCAAAGTATTACTGGGGTTTTCCAAAAAAAATCTCAGTAGTAACACGGAGTCTGGAATAGTGCCCGCGGTATATGGCAATAGGCTCACCCCCTATTACACAGGACTCATAACATAAATGGCGAAAAGTGGGTGTTACATTGTACAGTGGCATTAAATGCCGTAATGTGAACCTCTGCCTACCTCTTCGGAGATAAAAGGCGTGAGTATGTTAATAAATGAATCGTTTATCTATTACTGAGATTTTGGTTTAAGAATAAATAAAGGAACGGTTATTAATTGCGGTCCCCTATAATGTTTAACTCAACCGACAGTTAAAAATACATATTGTCTATCGTAATAAAGATGACAGGGTATAAAAATTAAAAATCTGATTAGTCCGTCAGTTAGGTAATTAGACACGATTTTTTTTTATTTTGTCGTGTAAGAAAACAATACTTAGATAAGTAGGAGCTAGCTACGTCATTTTTGAGTATAAAACATACACAAAGGCGATGTCACGCGATTACAATATATCGTCGAAAATATTTTGTTTTCGTAACAAAATATAGTTCTATAGTATACGTGTCTAATGTTTTTAAATAGTCTACAAATCGGACATTAAAATAAAAATTAGTCATCTACCGTATTGTGTGTCGCGGAGAACCTAACGGGTTACCGGGGCTCCGGCTCGAAGCGCAGGAGAAGGAACGGGGTGGTTTTTAGTCAGTAAGAGTCTAACACTCCCTCCCGCCTCACCCAGGCAGGAGCAGACATTCGATAATTTTCCCCTAAAAAAGAGAACCGTATTGTGTGGAGTGAAAAACCTATTTACGTTACAATTCAGCCTACAAACAAAGCCATAGAAAATCCAACACGTGAAACTGCCTACATTTTTATGCGTCGTACGTTAAAACTAGAATAAACATTGTCAACTAACAAGATCACATCATTAATCGTGTTTGTCAAACAAATCAATACTCTATTGTTATGTGTTTACGTACATAAATGGATAAATGAATGAATGGCTGTAGTAATGAAGTGGCGTCATCGCTCGCTTCATTCATACAAATTATAGGCAGTCGAGCTTAAAAAAAAAAACGTTTTTGCGGCGTGTTGTTGAAATTGTTAGTTACATGGGTGTTTATTTAGGTATGTGATATCTCTTTCTCTTTTTTTTCTCTTTTTTAATAACGTTGCCCCAAATTAGAATTTTCTCCTGTGTCGTGGGTGCGTTTACAAACATACAAGTTCACATACACATGACACCCGGACCCGAAACAACAATTTGTGGATCACACAAAGAGTTGTTCCGTGCGGGAATTGAACCCGCGACACGTTGCACGGCAGCTAGTTGCTCAGCTACCACCGCACCAACCGTCCAGTCAAAATACAATATGAGTACGTTACTGTAATTTCTTGTATAATTTTCGGAAAAAATCTTTTTTTAAGGGGGGATAATCATCAAATGACTTCTCCCGTCTGGCTGAGGCGGTAGTGTCAGACTCGTATCACACTCTTACTGACTAAAAACCACCTCGTTCCTACTCCTACCTTTCGAGCCGGAACCCCAGCAACCCGTTAAATCGAGTTGTATAGTGACCTATCTGAGTATTTAACCGATGCATTGATCACTAATAGGCACTATAAACGCCATTGGGTCGCCAGTGACCGGTGCTAGTGGAAAAATTTCCATCAACAGTTTTTACTTATTTCATAAATCTCTGTAGTAAGCACCGAGTTTACTATTGAGAATTTCAAAAAAAGGACAAAAGCAAGACAAGAATCTATATAACAATACTCAAACATTCCTCTCCCAAACAGAGACAAATCCAACTTTATACAACTCCAAATAAGGTTGAAAACGCAACAACCCTAAGCTACCAGGGCAAAGTCCGACAAAACCATGCTACGAAGAAAATGGCGATACAACTTTTCCCGTAACATAACTGTAACATGTACTAACTAATTTATTTACAACAAACACAGTATTAATTGCCTAAAAGCCTCAACGTACGATTTACAAGAATCCTTAGTACTTGAGAACAAGGTACGGGTAGTATTTTCTAATTGGAACGATTACTTATAAGGAAGGGTTACTTGCCTTTATAGGGAAACGAAATATATGTGGTTATTAAGATCTTGTTGTAAGTGTGCTAATTAACACTGCGTTTGGTATGTATATTTTAAAGAATGACCAATGTTTGGTTCGGTCTAATTGATTGGTTCTCATGCTCGGTTAGGATGTTAGGAATTTTGGCACATATTAGTTAAGCGCAATTTTATCTCTTGTATATTTCTCGTAACAGATGGTATGGGCACTTGCCGTAATCAATATCTTCCTTGAGGAACAGTTAGATAAAAACTTTTTGAAAAGGCAGTATTTGACTGGAAAAAAGTAAGAAAAAATCAATCTTTGATTCTATTCCTCTGCGTAAATTAGTATTCGTATAAACTAGAAATAGTCAGATAGCATAGGTATCTGTTAGGTGTTCCAAATTTGAATGAATCACTCTCGAAGAACGTAGAGAAATATTCAAGAACTGTGGTTTCAACCATAAAAGGGAATAAAATTTATTGTCTATACTTAACAGGCCTAAATTAATTAAACACTCGTAATATATCAAGTTTCTAGTACCTTTCGATTGATCCTACCTTTACGATGCTCGTACTATATATAAATTAGTCATAACTTTTGTTAGAAAATTAGCTATGGATTTAATAGGGTTGCATTTAATTGGGTACTATAAACTATAAAGTTACTATTAATATGAATTTCTATAAGCAGTTACTCAAGTAGAATATGGGTAGCAAAGTACTTAATAGAACGTGCAGTTAATGTTGGAATTAATTGATTGCCTTTTTTGAGTGGGGAAAATCATCCAGTGACTTCTATCGCCTTTTGTTAGGCGAGAGGGGGAATCAGACTCCTACTGACTAAAAACCACCCCGTTCCTACTCCTGCTCTTCAAGGGGGAACCCCGACAACCCGTTAGGCCTTCCGCGGCTCCGTAGCAGCACCATCTGTGGCGGTCTGATGGCTTTTTGAGTCGTACGCATGGGTCTAGTTCTGATCGGGCGGCGAGCTACCCTTGATGACTGTCCACAGACCCATTTATTGATTGCTTACGAGTTCAAAACACATTCTTTCCTATGCTAATCCTTAACTACATAGTACCTTGAGAATTCTTCAATCCGTGATCTCAAACGCCTATGAACTACAGTTATCTCAGAACAATTTAATAGGAAACGAAAGGCGACGTTTGCAAAAGCTTAATTAATTGTTCAAAGGCCTAACGAAGGTAAGGTCTCGTGCACCTGTCGATTCAGTTATTTATTGCAAACTGTTAGTTTCACGAGTATGTACAATCTACCTCTAGATTTGCAAGCTTTGTAGTCCCTTATCTAAATGCATTGTTCAGCTTGCTTGGTGATTAATGTGGGATTAGTGGCTCACGGTTTTATTTTACAATTGCCCTGGGAATTGTGCAAATCTAGGGTTTGAATTTTAATTGGAAATTGTTTGGTTTTATTTGTAAATGTATGTGTGAAGTTGCATCTATGGTTTAACTGTTATATCAAAAATCAGTTTCGCCTTTGGACGAAAATGGTACCAATATTTTTATGTTCTTTTTTATTCTTTACAGGTCCATGTGAAGTGGAAACGGGCCAATCTAGCATTATAGTTGATATAGAAGAAAGTAGAGGAGATCGTAAGTACACACCATTATTAAGACTTGATTATTGTCATAGGTACACTTATTTTCCACCATACTTGTATGATTTTAAAGTCGACTCTTGCGGAGAAGGAGACAGAACAACACCAAAATAATAATGATACCATACTTACCTATTATACCTATCGATATTGTATGTAGTTTGTAAATATTGTTTGTTTAATTTGTTTTTTTTTATCTTTTCAATTTTTGTTTTCTTTTTTGCTTTTCTTTATTGTGCACCACCCATTCCCAGATTTGTTGTCTCGAAACAACATATTTGTTACCTACATTTTTGGCAAATAAATTATTTCTGATTTCTGAAAAAATCGCCGCATGTAATAAGACCTCTCATTGTACTCAAATTACTATTAATAAAAAATAATTTTCTATGTGTGCAATAAAGTAAAAAATAAATAAATACCTAGTCCTGTATCATACATATAAGATTCATATTTATTACAGAGGTGAACCAAAGCACAGTGCCGGCTGATCTGCCAATAGTCGGCGAACCAGGTGTGGACGTGGTGTTGTCCACGGTATTTCCCAAGGGCCCCACGCTCTTCCAGCTCGATGGAAAGAGGTTGCAGCTGTTGCAACCTCTAGATAGGGATGCTGATAATTTGTCGCATATGGTATTCCAGGTGAGTTTTAAACATGCAAAGCGTGATGTTTTTTCTTTACAGTCGGACAAATGACTAAGTACTTAATCAATAGAGCGGTAGAAAAGTTCCCAGATAATAATATGACAATTTATTTCTCATGGAATACTAAACAGATAATAAGGTGTGCATAATCTTATTAGATAACTAAATAAAAAGTGTGGACACGCGAATAGTTTGAACATCTGCGACTGTAGGTCATCGATTTCATAACAAATAAACATTTCCCACGTTCAAAATCTCATTGTCAATTCAACAACCGAATAAGCTATCCTTAAGCCATTTTTTATTATTGTTAAATAAATTATCTATCATAATCACCTTACGATTATTTGTCAAACAATTTATAAAGATCTCCAGACAGTTCATAAGTAGCCATTTCAAATTTTTTACCAATCAACTTCCAACTTAAGGCTCGAAAATTAGAGTTCAAAATCGATTGTGATGAATAACGACCGATTTATTTCTCTCTAACCGAATTATGTTTATTAATATATAGCCTGGAGCTAATGTAGTAGTTATTAATGTATGCGAGAAGTTATTTAGTGTGTAATTAATGGATTTGTTTGCAGCTGGTCTGTCAAGTGAAAGCGACGAAGAAGAGACGGACTATACCGGTGATAGTGAGAGTATCGGACATCAATGACAATGGGCCGGTATTCCAAGGGACGCCATATGAAACTACTGTTTCTGAGGTAAGATTGTGGTTCAGTTCACACTGACGTTTTACCGGCTTGTATAGACATAGAAAACAGTACGCCGTGTTTTAAATATAGTGAATTTGTTTAATGTTTTGTCTATATTATGTTAAGAAATATTGACAAAAAATTACGAGTTACTCACATAAATATAATTAAAAAAGCTATACTAGTTACTGTATACACGCAGCCTACGTAGGCTGCAGGGTGCGCAACGTCGCCGCGACTGTTCATGAAGAAGAACCCCTCTGTGACTCGAAACTAGTAGAGCTTTTCTCAGTATGTTCACATGAGTCACTCGTAATTTTTAGTTAATTCATAATGTCTCACGATAGTTATTATAAAAACATGTTAAGAAGTAAATTATTTGTCATTAATTTATCCATCTTATAATGTATTTGCATTGAGTCAGTTACTTGTAATGAACTTACATAATAAATGAGAATTACAAAACCAAAACTAATAAATTGGGGTTATTATAAAAACAGCAATAAGAATATTCATCGAAAGAAATTGTAATAAATTAGCAGGTGATAATATTTTTTTGTATCTTTTTCAGCTGGTACCAATCGGGACAACAATATTCGACGGGATCAAAGCCGTAGACCTCGATGCTGGCGTCAATGGTCTATCAGAATACTTTATAATACCAGGAGATAATAAAACATTAGAGGCGGCGAATGCAGTAGATGGGTATGGGAGCTTCGCGATACCTTTGCCTCATCAGGGGCAGGTCACAGTCAATAGAAGCTTGGATTACGAGCGCACGCAGAAGTATCTAGTCACTATCCTTGCTTCTGTAAGTATAAACATCCTTAAGACAATCAAAGTGTCAGCATTACACAAATTTTTCATCAGTATTTTACAATTATTACATTGTTATTTCCCTACTAAAGACGTGATGTTATGTTACATTATTATTGCCCTACTTCTTAATAATCAGTACCAGGAGAACATAACATAAAAGAGGTTTTGACCTTGACCTCATTGGTCTTATAGTCTGGTTTTCTAGTTTTGTTTTTTTGATTCGTTACTTTGAATTCTAAACTGTAGATTCTAACTAACTTTTTGCGTAGTGATTGTTTAGATTTTAATAGGTACAATACGTGTAAATGTTCAACTATTATTTGGTGCATAGTAATAAACAAAATTGTTCTAAATTGTAGATAAATTATTAAAATATGTTGTCAAGTATCCGAAACTCGATAAATAGATGTCCAACTAAATAATGGACGTTTAAAAAATTATGATATTACAGATCTATCAATAACATAACATCACGTCTTTTATCCCCGAAGTGGTAGGCAGAGATGCACATTACGCTACTTAATGCCACTGTACAATGTACCCACTTGTCACTATTTATGTTATGAGTCCGATATGTAATAGGGATTGCCCATTGCCATTACTGGACACAATTCCAGACTCCATAGCATGACCCTTTGTCCGGTAGTCGCACTTGCGATCACTCGGCCAACGAGGCAGATCTATCAATAGTAAGACTAAATATATCTCATACAATTTCAGGATCGTGCCCGTGATACAAAGAAACGTCTGTCCAGCACTACTACGTTAACCGTGGTCGTACAAGATGATGATGACCAGGACCCATCCTTTATATACAAGGGCTGCACGCTGCATGAAGGAGCTTGCTTTAACCCGGAGTATACTAGCTATGTACGTATCACTTTGTTATTTTAAGAAAAATAGAGGAGATTGTTTCCGAGTTGTAAAGGTACATGATTCTCATTGATCAGCTCAAATCTCTCGCGCGCTTCTCGTACACATGGGTAAACGCGCGTTCTCGTACACACGGGTAAATATTTTAATAGAAACGTGAATTAACTTTTCTGTTCAATCAAATAAAGAACGGGTTGCAAACTTGAAAAATATACGTCACAGAAAAAATATCCAATCAGTGCGCGTTTCTCGTACACCCGTGTGTACAATTGCGCGATGGGCACTCAACTCTCTCTTACACCGACTTTTGACCACTATGTCGTCTGGTGGTAAGCGATGATGTGGCCTACGATGGAGCACATCGACCCATAAACAGCCTATTCACTCGGGCCTTGAAGACACCCAGGCTATACCCTTCAGCAAACCGACGTGAAACAACACTTGCGTTGTTTTGTCGTGTGTGTAAGATTACCGGAGGTCAATTTACCCCTTTCCCTAATCACCCGAATCCCTAACAATCCTCAAATTCCCAATCCTCAAAAGGCCGGTAACGCAGTTGTAACGCCTCTGGTGTTTCGGGTGACTGAGCGGTGCGGATTGCTTACAATCAGGTGATCCGTCTGCTCGTTTACCGGCTTAAGCCATCAAAAATCCTAGATCACTTGATGCTACTTCAAATGAATACCTACTCTTTCCTAGCGATTAAGGTTAAACTTCTCTATGGACCATGGAAAGATTATTATACATATAAATATACATAACTTAATCTTAAAACCCGTGAACTGTATGAGATGCTTCTTTTACTGTTATGTTCGTATAGCGTATACGACTTAAGACTCATTGACTTCGCCCCATAAAAATAAAATCTATATCCCTTCCATCAGGTAAACAGCGGAGTTTTAGCAGGCATCCTAACCATAGAGCCAGAGAAGATACAAGCAGTAGACATGGACACGTTGGACGCAAGGATCAAATACACCATCGACAGTGGGGAACCAGACTCCTGGAATACTTACTTCGCTATAGATCCCAACACTGGCGCTGTAAGGCAACTAGTTGCTGTTGACACTTCTATTGCTAAGAAGTTCCAGCTAGTTATTAAGGTAAGGATGGGTCTTAAAATAATGGGCGGGTTTTGCATGAAATGTTGGTACTTTGAAGTCCCAGATGCGTAATGCTGTGGGACTCAATCGCTCATTCGCTCTTAGAAGTTACGGCATTATGTTTTTTAAAATGTTGAGGCGCATATTTTGTCATTTATTTGTGTTATTTGCGTGTCAAACTTAAATTTTTATCAATTAACTAGCTACTTCCGCGTGGTTTCACACGCTCTGCTCAGCTCCTATTGGTCGTAGCGTGATGTTTTATAGTCTATAGCCATCCTCGATAAATGCCTTATCCAACCCAAAAATAATTATTCAAATCAGACTTGTAGTTCGGAGATTAGCGCGTTCAAACAAAAAAACAAAGTCATCCGCTTTATATAATAGTATAAGATTTATTACATTCTTACTTACATTGCCCTTGGAGATCGATAAGAAGTTTCAGTCGTCAAAATTCAATCTGTAACTTAACCTGAGCTTTTTAAAAACACGACTATTCTTCCGTCAGTTTTATACCATCTTTAACGCGTACCTCTCACATAAAAGCATATAAAACAGTCATGATATATGCTTATATAATTTAACTTCTCATACATTACAGGCCGAAGAAGTGACAGAAGCGCGCCGCTTCACAACAGCGAAGCTCACGATCACAGTGCGACCGGTAGACGCCAGTCCACCAGTTGTTGAAGTGTCCTCTGATGAAGGGAAAGTGGAAGAAAACTCACCCAAAGGCACCAAAGTATTAGACAATGATGGAAAACCGATTAGATTAACTGTTTCGGATCCTGATTTGGTAAGTTTAGAAAATATTCAATGGTACCCAATTTGATTTATGTCTGCTTAACCCCATGAGTACCGTCATTATAGACACAATTAAAGAACAATAGGTTGCGGTCACCGGTGTCTTCGCGGTGTTTGACAGTTTAATGAATATAGCGATAGTACCAGTACCTTTAAGCTTTTATTTGGTTGCTTACTGATTATTTTTGATGGTAAGTGTATCTTTCAATTATATCTCAGGTCCAGGTCAAAATAAGAAACCTCAGCAAGTGTTTATAATAGCAAAAGAAAGCTTATATAAATATTTTCAAACCTTATAATGTTAATTTTATTCATTCTTATTTTTAACACATTAACAGTCCATTGAAGAGAGTTACCTTTGTTTAAACACTGTCCCACTCTAGGATATTATGGGTGCGTTTACAAACATAATTTTACATACAGCAAAACTGTGGAATGATCTCTCGTCGGCGGTATTTCTGAACCCTTCAAGAAAAGAGCGTATTCCTTTTTAAAAGGCCGGCAACGCACCTGTGCCTCCTCTGGTATTGCGGGTGTCCATGGGCGGCGCTGATCGCTTACTATCAGGTGATGCGTCTGCTCGTTTGCTACCAATTCCATAAAAAAAATACAGAATGACACCGAAACATCAATATGTGCAATCACACAAAAAGTTGAGAGAGACAACTTTTTAACAACATACAGATGTGGGTGTGGAATGTCGTGGTGGCCCGGAGGTTTAAGACGCCCACTCCTCATGCATGAGGGTGCGGGTTCGAAACCTACCAACGGCAAGTACCAATGTGACTTTTTCCGAGTTATATGTACTTTCTAAGATTATTTAGACACCACTGACAAACGGTGAAGGAAAAACATCGTGAGGAACCCTGGACTTATAATTTCTAATTATAAGTTTGAAATCGCCAACCCGCATTGAGCAAGCGTGGTGATTAATGCTCTAACCTTCTCCGTGTGAGAAGAGGCTTTGCTCAGCAGTGGGCATTTATAGGCTGTTGATTGAGATGTGGGCACCGCTACACGTTGCACGGTAGCCAGTTGCCCAGCCACCGCGTTAACCATGTATTAATTTGGTTGTATCCTTCATTTCCAGGGACCCGGAGATCCAGTTCCAAAATACACATTTGAATTGACAACAAACTTTTTCGATATCGACAAAGATGGATATTTAGTTGTCAGTGATGAGAAACTCGACCGAGACCCACCCAACCCAGGCAAATTTAGATTCCAGGTAATATGGGATGCTTCACACACCATACTGTAAAAAAAAAACGTATTAATCACACTGGTGTTCCTGACATAAGTAATTGTATCAAAAAACATAACAATACCGAACCTGTATAGTCGTCCCTGAGGATTACGCTTAGTATACTACATTTAGGGGACGACTATATCGTTAAACATTGCCATTTATTATAGATCCCAAAATATCAATAAATTGAAAATTTCTATTTACTTGCACTAAAAACAACTCAGTTCATCAGATCCGGATTGTAACCATGTACTCTAAATCAGGATCTTGTTTCTTAGCAACATTGTGATTTGAGTTACATAAAAAATGGCTTAATTTCCAGGTTGTCGCCCGGGAAGCGAATGGTGGCGCAGCGTCAGCTCCGACTTCGTTAGCGGTACAATTGTTAGACCAGAATGATAACGCGCCCGTGATACCGAAGACCCAACCGATCATTGTACCCGCTAGCTTGGAACCTACTGAAGTGCATACGGTACGTTGAACATACTATCCCTTGGAAATATGACGCTAATTTCTACTATCTATATAGTAGAGTACTGAAAGAATCTATATAGAAAGAAGTATACAGAGAGGATATGAATGTGTCCGTCGGTAGAGGGCGCCCTAGACGGACTTACTCTTGAATCCAATTCCGATTAGTCGAAATTGGTATTGTAAAATTTCGTACTCTTTAGTTGCAATATTAGAAGCCATTGTATCCGTATTGCCTGGATATTTAATGAACTCAATGGTATTAAGTGGATTTATATTCTACATTCTGAATGCTATTTTAACATCTACGAAAGGGTTGTATAGTATTGTCATTGAATAATTATTGAGATTTTATTGGATTGAAATTGCATTGACATTGAGATTGTTTTCAAGAGTAAGGATCCTGATTGGAAGTACCCTTAACCGACGAGCATGCATGAATAGATTGATGACTGTTGATGAAGCGAAAGAGGTATGTAGGAATCGTAGCAATTGGCGTTTCATAGTCTCTGCCTCCATAGCACACAGGCGTGACGTTATGTATGTATGTATGTATGTACGTATGCTTCTACTATCCTTGAATGGGTTACTTCGACCGTAGTGCATATTAAACTGTCAAACACCAAGCGGTCACCGGTGACCGCGACCTATTGTTCTTTAATTGTATCTATAAAACCGGTACTCGACGAGTTAATCTATCGCCGATTACCAACATGAAGATGTAATTTCAGGCAAACAATATAAGAGTTTTAATATCTCTTGTTACAAGTTACTGTGCCTGCTTACCATCAAACGGAATGTAAGCTTTGATACTACCAATAGAAGCACGAAAAATCTTTGCTACTAATATTATGAAAAATACAAAAATTTTGAGGATAGAGTATCGGATGAACGTTTGTTAGTAACTCAATGACTCTGAAATGTCTAAACACATCTGCAATAGCACACTGCGTTTTCGTTTTCAAATTGCACACGAATGAAGTTGCTGATAAATACTAATTACGTAGATCAGTAATATTATAATACTTAACCGATTTGCATTTCCACAGGTGGAGGCGATAGACATCGATGAGGGTGAGAACGCACGCATAACGTACAGCATATATCACGTGTCTAACAATGGAGGCAACAAGTTCACTATACACCCTAACACCGGAGTTATATGTAAGCACCTTTTAATACTAACTGACACGCAAAATAGGACTTTATTTACTCGAGAATAGGGATGATGACAGGGTATAAAAATTAAAAATGTAATGAGTCCGTCAGTTAGGTAATGAAAAAATATTAGACACGTATTTTTTATTTTAATAGCTAAATAAAACGAATCAATGTTTAGGAGTGGGAGTCAACTACGTCACTTTTGAGTATAAAACGTACACAAAAGTGACGTCACGCGATATTTCAAATCACCTTAGCGTCGAAAGGTCGAAAGTATCTGTGTCCGTAAGAAAATAAAAAAAAGTGTCTAATGAATTTAAATAATTTACCAGATGGACATGAAAATTTAAATTAGTCATCTACCCTATTAAGATTATATTTGTATAAACACGAAACAACTCTGTTTTGTGTTTGCCCATAATGCATATTGTCAATAGTAACGACTTTATTTGTTTTGTTATAAAGTCTATTTTTCTATGTACTCTATTTTATAATGTTTGCACACAGAATTGTGCTTACTGTAATATTGTATTCAAGTAATAGTGCCTTATAACGTTACTTTAAGGTTCTAAATTGATTGTCATGTCAAGTCAGGTCCTGTATTCAGATTCCCGAGGTACCTATTTATTGTGTTTAAATGCGTGTTTGTACTCAGTTTTTGTGCATGAAGGTTTATTAATATTGTGTTCGTAAGTGTTAGGTATCACATTAAAAAATATATTTCTTGTATTAAAAATCTTTAACCGACTAGCACAATTACACGTTTTTATAACCATCAAAATGTTTATGAGTTATTCATAATACAGTGTGTGTCATTTCACCGTTTTCATAACATTCAATGTTTTTCAATAAAGCAAATCCCTTTCTATGCAAGAAGAAGGGTAGTTCCTTTTTTAAATAATATAAAAAAAAAACAGCACGAGTGTGACCACAGATTAACCTCTTTACATAGCTAACATATATTCCAAACTAAGACATATTTTTTTCTATTTCCAGCCAGCACAGGTCGTTTACAAGCAGGTGAACAGTACAGTGTAACTGTACGTGCGACTGACGCAAAGGGTCTCAGTTCTCAAGGGATTGTAGAACTGTCTGTGGCTCCAGGCCCCAATACAAGGCCACCGCAGTTCTCGTCGCGGGATTACTATGCCCCCGTCTCTGAAGGCGCTGCTATAAATTCTACTGTTACAACTGTTACTGTAAGTAGTTTGTTATTTTTAAAAGTGATATTTATGTACTATTTTACTCGATAAACTTAGATCAGTAAAAAGAGAAATACATAACTTCACACCTGTCTCCCATGGCGGTAGACAGAGACTATGGAACGCCATGGATTCCTATATACCTCTTTCGCTTGATCAACAGTTATCATTTTTTTTATATATGCTCTTCGGTTAAGGATACTTTTCTATATCGCTAATCTGGTCCTTTAATTTTAATATCAAAACTCTCAATTATATCCTACTCGACACTCTAATAAATCTATACCTAAACCCAACTAACATTAAGATTTTAAAAATTATTCATTGGAAAATTTTCATACTAATCCTACCTATGTATATTTTAGAAATCTCTAGCCTTTGATCATCATCTAACAAATATCTTTTGTCTTACTTCCAGGCCAAAGACCCAGAAAACGAGCCAGTGACGTACTCCATAGCATCGGGCAATGACCTCCGGCAGTTTGCTATTGGTTCAACGACAGGCATCATCACAGTCATCAGAAGCCTGGACAGAGAAGTGCTGACTAGATATCAATTGGTAAGATTTGATTGTAATTATTATTAAATATTTTTGAACACAACATAACATCACGCCTTTTTATCCCCGAAGGGGTAGGCAGAGGTGCACATTACGGCACTTAAAGCTAATGTACAATGTAACACCCACTTTTCACACTTTATGTTATGAGTCCCATGTAATAGGGGGTGAGTCTATTGCCATATACCGGGCACATTTCCAGACTCCGTGCTACTACTAAGATTTTTTTTAAAACCCAGTACTACTTTGCCCGACCCGGGAATCGAACCCGAGAGTTGCCCGGCAGTCGCACTTGCGACCACTCGGCCAACGAGGCAGTCATATTTTGGAGAGTGAACATAAAACAATCGTTGTATTTCTATGTAGGTATACCATAGGCAACCCTCGAATCCTCCTTCTCATTCTTTCAGTTTTATGCGTGGATGTTATTACAATTAAGTCATTGTACAGTTGGCACGGGTTCGATTCCCGCACGGATCAACTATTTGTGTGATCCACATATTGTTGTTCCGGGTCTGGGTGTGATGTGAATGTGACCTTTTATGTTTGTAAATGCTCTCACGACACAAGAGAAAATCCAAGTGTGGTGCAACGTTTAAAAAATGTTTAAGTTCCGCAGTAACTTGAACAAAGACATTTGGACGAAAGTAAACCATAGAAAATACAAATACAATACAAAAACATAATTATTTTATTTATTATTTATCTATTTATGTACACACATACAACATAAAGTACAACACATACATAAAATTAAAGTACAAAGGTACCACCTATTCCTATTGGAATTTCTTCCTGTGGTTTTAGTTATTTTACTAACTATAAACCTTAAAACCTATAATTTTTCACTATTTTTCAGATGGTAAGAGCAGAAGATCCAGGCAGGCTATCGAGTACAGCGACTGTAAACATCAAGGTCACTGACATCAACGACAACAACCCAAAGTTCGACGAGGATTCCTACTTGTTCCACGTTAAAGAAGGTAACCATCTATCTATATATATTTGTATATATATATATATATATATATATATTTACATCCTAGAACCGTTTTGGCGTCACACATGTCGCGCATCATTATGACGTCCCCCAGTTCCCCTTAACATTTTTAATATGTCTTGATGAATATTGCTTAGTTATTCGATTTCCAGCTTTGTAGGATACGTCATTTTCCGATAATTTTATTTTTCGCGATATTCTTCTTGCAGTCATGCTGCTACATTTTTGAACCCCAAACCATCGTGATAACTAATTGGGCTCCTAGATATATTGATCGTGATTTAACCATGGCTTCGGCTAATTAACGTCCTCACAGCGTGGATGGTATTTGCGAGTGCAACGTTGCCAGCTTTGGGTTCACTTGTCTCTTTCTTTTCCTCTCTCTTGTCACTCGTCTGGGACAGAGTTTTAACAGTATTACAATATTCGTAAAATCTATCAATACATATACTAATGCCCGATATTGGTATAATATTGGTAACAAGATGCAAAAAAATTGAGGTTTCTATGAGATTTTTACATGAGAAGATGCCGCAGTAGGAATAACATATTTTTTAAATGTTTGCCTAGTCTATTCCATACATAAATACAAATCGGTTCAGCCCGTATGTGATCGGCGCGGCGTACCGGTTTTACAAATTTATCGAAAGAAAGAAACTCAGAACTCAATTTTTATTTCAAAACAAGCAAGAGTAAAATACGTGAAAGTTTCTTCCCCAGCGGTCATCATGTAAGATCATCTATAACTGTGAAAGATCATCTAGCTATTGGGCGTCCAAATATAGTTATTAATCATCATCAGCCTATTTAAGTCCACTGCTGGACTAGCACCATCTACTGGGCTACGTTAGGAATTCAAAAATGGTCATGCAAATTTCAGTTGACCCAAACGCTATGGTCATCAAGTAAAAAGCTACATCACTATACTGCTCACACACGGAAATGGGAGGTCCGTTGATTGCGGATGCTGACAATTGACATGGTAATGGCAGGGGTCTCTTGCGGAGCCTGACGATGGCCATGCGCGCGAAGAAAGTTTCTTCCTCAGCAGGTATCATGTAAATCACTTAGCTATCGAACGTCCGTATATAGCTATTGGGCGTCCGTATATAGCTATTGAACGTCCATATATAGCTATTGGGCGTCCGTATAGCTATTGCTATATAGAACATCCACGTACTTCCTCAGCAGGTGTCATGTTAGATTTGAGGAGTGGCTTGAGAGACAGAGACGCTACGGCGTCCTTATCTACCGCCTGACGCAGGTGCTTACCGGACACGGAATTTTCGGTAGGTTCCTGCTTCGGATTGGGCGGGAGGAAACGCTCGGGTGTCATCATGGCGAGGCCACCCGGGGGACACGGTGGAGCATACGGTGGCAGTGTGCCCTGCGTGTGGGCTGAACACCGTCGTGTCCTCAGGAATGTGATCGGCGACGGCGACCTCTCGCGTCCGACACTGGTTCAGACCATGGTACAGAGTGAGGGAGACAGGGATGCCGTCTCCTCCTTCTGCGAAGCAGTCCTGCTAGCTAAGGAGAGGCGGAGCTCGTGAGGGAACGAGCCTCCTCACGCTCCAGCCGTCACGAGAGACACTCCAGGCGTCGGGGATCTCGAAACGGTCTCCGTCCACCGTAAGCACGGGCCTGCGGTCGGCGAGCACGGATGACTCCCGCCCGATCAGAACCAGACCCGAACGTACGGCGCATCGCGTTCCGCATACGCCCCAAGGAGCCATCACTACCACGGATGGAGCTGATGCCGATACGGAGCCGCGAGGACTTAAGGGTGACCGGGGCTCCGACTCGAAGTGCAGGAATAGGAACGGGGTGGTTTTAAGTCAGTAAGAGTCGGAAGGTACCTGTGTCTGATGGGGCGGGAGGAACGTCCGGGTGTCATCACTGTGAGCACCGCCCTGAGGACACGGTGGAACACACTATAGCGGAATGCATTGCGTGGGCTGAGCACCGCCGTACCCTCAGGGAAGTGATCGGCGATGGCGACCTCTCGCGTCCGGGCCTAGTGCAGGCCATGATACGGAGCGAGGGGGACTGGGATGCCGTCTCCTCCTTTTGCGAAGCAGTCAAGCTAGCTAAGGAGGAGGCGGGACGCATGAGGCAGCGAAGCGCTGCCTCCTCGCAACCCAGCCATCGCGAAGGACACACCGGGCGTCGGGGATGCGGGACGATCTCCGGCCACCGTAAGCGCGGGCCTGCGGACGGCGAGCATGGATGGCTCCCCGTCCAACCAGAAACAAACCTGAACGTGCGGCGCGTCGCGTTCCGCGAGCGCCTCAAAGGGCCATAAAACCACCACAGATGGGGCAAAACAGGGCCGATACCGAGTCGGAGTCGCGGAGAACCTAACGGGTAACCGGGGCTCCGGCTGGACGTGCAGGAAAAGGAACGGGGTGGTTTTTAGTCAGTAAGAGTGACACTCCCTCCCGCCTTACCCAGGCGGGAGCAGTCAATCTATGATTATCCCCGCTTAAAAAAAAAGTAAGTAAGAGAAACTTCCTCTGAAACTTCCACTCGCCTCACCGGCGCGGCCGCCAGCGGCCGGCGGCAAATGGCATTGGATGATTTTTTATCCCTCAAAAAAAAAGGTATCATGTTAGATCACCTAGCTATAGGGCGTCCGTATATAGCTATTGGGCGTCCGTATATAGCTATTAGGCGTCCGTATATAGCTATTGAACATCCACGTATAGCTATTGGGCGTCCGTAATTAGTACAGATAATAAGAATATATCTTATTACTAGAATGGTTTTATTAAGTATATATGTTCAAAAATTCTTTCATTTAGGCTGGTTTCAGAGCTAGAGGATTGGGCAGCGCTGCTGAAATGCCTCGCGCTTTTAGATGATGAGAGCTCTAGCATCGTTTTATTGTGACACGACTGTCATAGAGGTAGAGGTCCCAGTAGAGGACTTTATCGCTAGAAATTATGATCTATGAGATACACTTTTATTTTAATCTAAACCTTAAGTAACTGAAGACCGCACCTAATCTGATCTTTGTGCGCAAATATTGTATTGAATTTCAATTTCATTTAAGGCAAGATTCCTAATTTAATACTTCTAGTTGTGGCCACTCAATTAACTCCTCTATTGGATTGTTGCCTGATGCCTCTATTGTTGAAGCCCGCGCTTCAGCCGCGCTGCCCATATCCCCTAGCTTTGAAACCAGCTCTAATTGTATCAAATATTTAATTGGCAGCTTATTGATATGAAGTTACCAATTCTAAGTAAGCAAATAAAAACAAAGAATATGGATATCATTTTACTGCCTCGTTGGCCGAGTGGTCGCAAGTGCGATCGCCTGGCAAAGAGTCTCGGGTTCCATTCCCGGGTTGGGCAAAGTATTACTGGGTTTTTTCAAGAGTCTGGAAGTGTGCCCGGTATATAGCAATAAACTCACCCCCTATTACATGGGACTATAACATAAATAGTAAAACTGTGGATATTACATTGTACAGTGGCATTAAGTGCCGTAATGTGCATCTCTGCTTACTCCTTCGGGGAAAAAGGCGTGATGTTATGTTATGTTAAATATGGATATCACTTTTAATGAAGTGTTATGTTTTGTAATCAAAAACATTTATAATTCCTAATTGGATCTTTATAACACGCCAAGGCTAGAAATAAGAAGACAAACGTTGATTGATTTGATCAGTAATACAACATTAATTAATTATTCAGTGTTAGATGCATCTTCTAACCACATAATAGATAAAGTTAATAAAATTACGTCAAATTTATACGGAGACTATACTATCTAAATACACATTTAATACGAGTTAAACTCTGGTTAACCTTTTTTGTGGTAAGACATATAATTTTGTCACTTTAGTACTTATTTCTAAGATCCCTTTAAGGAATTAATTTATACCCTCATCTATTATATATATATATACTGATAGGTACTCATTTACAAATTGAGAACAGGGTTGCAGATAAGTTGTCGTAAGTTGCAATCACATGATTATAATAAAATCGGACTCCAAATAATACGCAACACATCCGAAATGTACAACGATGAATATTGTTTTGAATGCGGTAAATAATATTATGAACTATTTCCACGGATTTATGAGCGAACTGGCAACGTCGCTGTTTTTTTTTGAGGACGCCAAATACGCGGACTTATAATCAGAAAATCCCAAAAATATACAGCTGTGGATATACGCGCTACAGCAGCGCTCTATCTGCGCTGAGATTTCTTTGGGAACTTTTAAAAATACTATAACAGCCATTGAACCGATTTTTTGGCCTCTGTCGATTTTTAACCTACGTGCAGCCAGGACCAAAAGGACCTAAGTAGCATAGGCCAAAAAAGTGGCGTCCGGTATGCGGACGCCACAAGCAGGTGGACGCCAGATTAAATGCACTTTCGCCTTCATGGGACGTCCAAACGATTGCGGGATGTAAATATATATATATATATATATATATATAAAAGAAAGTCGTGTTAGTTACACCACTTATAACTCAAGAACGGCAGAATAGATTTGGCTGAAAATTGGTAAGGAGGTAGCTTAGAGCCAGGAGACCGACATAGGATACTTTTTAACCAACATTTTTTTTTACTTTTTACCGAAAATCACGAACGGGGACGGGAAAAATAGGATTACGCGTACGAAGTCGCGGGCAGAAGCTAGTATTGTGATAAAATAATACTTACCACAATTTTTCTATAAGACGCATCCTCTGGTAGTAAGCGTTAAGCACCAAACAAGTTGTATTACCTAACAAATTATTTAAACTTTGAGATTAATTGCCCTGAGGTTTGTTCCTGTGGAACCTCTTCTGTGCTTCGCGATTACCGCGGCAGAGAAACTAGATCTAAATAATTGGTGTTTTCTTTGCTAAATAACAGTCGTTTCTAAATTCGAAATTTAATAAAAATTGCTTATGGGACGACTTGCTCCATCGTAGACCGTATAATCGCTTACCACCAGGCAAAATAGTGGTCAAACGTCGCCCCATCAAATATTTAATAATGGATTACAGAAGTCTCGTTAGCCGAGTGGTTACAAGTGCGACTGCCGGGCATGGGGTCTCGGGTTCGATTCCAGGGTCGGGCAAAGAATTACTAGGTTATTTAAAAATTCTCAGTAGTAGCACGGAGTCTGAAATGGCAATAGGCTCACCCCCTATTAGATGGGACACATAGCATAAATAGCGAAAAGTGGCTGTTACATTGTACAGTGGCATAATGTACACCTCGTCCTACCCCTTTAGGGATAAAAGGAGTGATGTTGTGGTGATGATTATAGATATAAGAATCTGTATCCTTTGATCCCAGTGCTTAGTTCGAGTCTCTTACCTTAACGCGATCTACACGTCACCATGTTTAGCCCTCTGATTAGATGGTTCACTTGGAATAGGCCAATTAGAGCGCCGAAAATCATACACGTGTCGATCATGTTCACGTTAAACAACTTCGCACTAAGAACTCAGATGACTTTACCTATTTTTTTTTATATATAAACCGTTGCCCTACACTAGGATTTTCTCCTGTGTCGTGGGTGCGTTTACAAACATACAAGCTCACATAGACATGACACCCAGACCCGGAACATCAATTTGTGGATCACACAAAGAGTTGCTTCATGCGGGAATCGAACCCGCGACACGTTGCGCGGCAGCCAGTTGCCCAACCATCACCATCGCACCAATCGTGCCATCGAATGACCTATGACCAATGCTTACTAATCCTTACTCCTTACTATATTGTTAATATTATAAATCGGAAAGTGAGTTTGTTTGTTTGTTTGTTCCACTTTCAGCCGTAACTACTTAACCCATTGCATTGAATTTTTGCAGACGTAAAGTTAGTAGTCTGGATTAAATAATAGGGTATTTTTTATCCCAAAAAAATTTGATATTCCCGAGGGAAAACAAAAGTATTGGTATAGATGGCGCTGTGTGTATTGGTATAAGTCACGTAGGCTACTTTTTATCCTTTGGTGACGCGAGCGAAGCCGCGGGTAAAAGCTAGTAATAAATAAATAAACAAAACAAAATCTCTTCTAGGTGCCGCCAACGAGTTCGTCGGTTACGTTCACGCGACCGATATAGATGAAGGAGTAAACGCCATGGTCAGTTACAGCATACCAACTCATCTGCCGTTCAGCATCGACAATGGAACTGGAATGATCAGTACTAAAACTGAACTAGATTATGAAACTACTAAGGTAAGTTTATGTAAAATGTGTTAAGAAAGAATAAAATTGAATTTCTTAAATATTATACAAATGAGGGTGAAAATTACACTTTCCTGTACGAAATTCGATCACCCTTACGTCAAACTGCCACACCTCTTTAGAGTTCTTTGAAAACTATTCAAAATGACGATGATATCAACATGACCTACTTAAAATAATTAATTAAATATATACCTACTTAATTCGCTTTAAGGATCCTTTAGAATGCAAGGCCTACTCCTGCTTTCCACGCGGGTATAGTTATAGTCGTTTCAGGGACTACATTTTTAACAGAGACCGAGTACCAGCGTCTTATTAAAACTAAATGAAATACTCAAACGCTACTCAATTTAAGTCGCGCTTAAGTCTAATTCTGTCTCTACAAGTTCTTTGTAAAATGACAGAGATGGCATGATATTTAGGTACAACATAAAATTCAGTAGCCTTTCAGTATTCGGGCGTAAGTTATTAACCCGCCTGTCAAGCGTGTTGATAAACTGTCTGATGTCGGAGACACCAATAGTCTAGCAATTACCTCTCACAGGCAGGCAAAATTATTACTTTAACTACATTTATTAAAGTCTAAAATTAATTGAAATACATTATTTTCTTCCAGGAATACGCTTTCGTAGTAACAGCAACAGACGGAGCGATAGACAAGCGTCTTGGGACCGCATCAGTGACGGTACAAGTGACAGATGTACCTGATGAGCCACCAGTTTTCAACAAACTACTATACTCAGTACATGTACCCGAAAATGCTGCTAATTACCCCGTTGTTAAGGTTGAGGTTAGTATTGCAAATTTTTGACGCCCGAAGTTTCTTATTGGCTGTCGAAATTCACGACCACCATTAAATTTTGCACCGTTGGTTGGTGCAGTGGCTGGGCAACCGGCTGCCGTGCAACGTGTCGCGGGTTCGATTCCCGCACGGAATAACACTTTGTGTGATCCACAAATTGTTGTTTCGGGTCTGTGTGTCATTGTGTATGTGAACTTGTATGTTAGTAAACGCACCCACGACACAGGAAAAAATCCTAATGTGGGGCAACATTTAAAAAAAATATATATAAATTATCTTTATTTTTTTAAGTAAAGAAAGTCTAAGTTACGCAATATTAAGAAAACTTGCGCAAAATATCTGAAACAAACCTTATTACTTATCCCTCAAAGTCCAGTTTTCCCTGTTTCAACCTATAACCATTCAATATATCGTTCCAGGCTGAAGATCCAGACACAATATCAGAAATAACATACACAATTCTAATGGGAGATAATGAACTATTTACAATAGACCGTAAATCTGGTATGATAAGGACTGCTAAACCTTTGGATAGGGAGATAACTGCCAGGCATCAGCTCATAGTGGGCACTGAAGAAAATAACGAGGAACATCCCGGTTCTACAACTACTGTTGAAATTTTGGTTGATGTGAGTATGCTTCTAATGTGTCTTTTGTTCTGTAAAGGGATATGTGTAGAGTTTAATGTTACTATCAAAGAATCTCAAACAACTTTCTTCTATTTGCATGGCTTTAAAAAAAATTGCTAGTATTTAGTACAGCATCGGTGGCGCTAGTGTCGAATTATATCCTTACCAATAAACACGTACCTATGAATTAGGTATTTTTAAAAAGTCAAACGATTATAACACCATTTTTAATAACATAACATAATATCACGCCTTTGATCCCCGGAGGGGTAGACAGAGGTGCACGTTACGGCACTTAATGCCATTGTACAATGTAACACCCACTTTTCACTATTTATGTTATGAGTCCCATGTAATAGGGGGTGAGCCTACTGGCATATACCGGGCACAATTCCAGACTCCGAGTACTACTAAGATTTTTTTAAAACCCAGTAATACTTTGCCCGACCCGGGAATCGAACCCGAGACCCCTTGCCTGGCAGTCGAACTTGCGACCATTCGGCCAACGAGGCAGTCGCATTTTTAATTAAGTATGTTTGTATATAAAAAGACAACAAAAGCGTATGCAATACTTATAAAAGGTTAAACAAATATGTATTATAACAAAGAATTAAAACTATATTGCTCCAACTCGTTTTAAACAATCTCCTACATTTTCCAGGATAAAAACGACAACGCCCCAATATTTACCTCAGTAGTCCGTCCAGTTACCATCGAAGACTCTGCATCAATCGGCAGTCTAGTTCAGACAGTAGTGGCAATGGACGGTGACGCTACTCCACCAAACAATAGAATCCGGTACAAACTGGTTGGAAGGGGCAAAGCTTCCATTTACTTCCACGTCGAACCTGATACTGGCGCCGTGAGGGTTCGAGATGATCTGAGGAAGGAGGCTGATAGTGAATATACTGTGAGTATTATGACTTTATTTGTTATGGCAAAAATTAGCAAAAGAACAGACGGATATAAATAGGGTAGAATTATACATTTTATTTTAATGTCCGTCTGGTAGTTTTTTTTAAAACATTAGACACGTATTTTTTCTTTTCGATAGATTTGAAATATCGTGTGACGTCACGATTTATTACATTTTATAGGGTATCGCGACGTAACGACCTCCCACTTCTAAAAAAATCCGTTTTGTCTAAGTATTATTTTCTTATACAACAAGATAAAAAAATATGTGTCTAATATTTTTTCATTATCTAACTGACGGATTAAAGACATTACTACCCTATTAACTTAATAAGAAGCAATCGAATCTACATTAGAGGAGCTATAATTGCGTTGCTCGCTATTTGGGAATCGCTGAAAGTGGTTGCGTATTATCGCTTTTACTTCTATACTGTAACTTCGCGTTGATGTATCTCGGTAGATAACGAGATTCGTCCATTGTCCTGAGTAGTTGAGGAGCTAGTATTGAACTATATGTCTGTTGTTAAAAATAACACAAAGTTGTAAGTTCTATTTGGGTAAAAAACTTGTAATCCTTAAGATGATTTAATTCGTAAACTTTATTTTCTAGGTGGACGTGCAAGCATACGATCAAGGTGATCCGGTGATGTCTTCAGTTTCTAGTCTAACAGTCTACGTTAGCCATTCAGCTACCGTTCCACCAGATGTAAGTTTTCATTCGATTTATTATAAACTAGCTTCTGCTCGCGACTTCGTACGCGTAATCCCATTTTTTCCCGTCCCCGTTCGTGATTTGTGGGATGTGGGTCTCCTGGCTCTAAGCTACCCTACTAATTTTCAGCCAAATCTATTCTGCCGTTCTTGAGTTATAAGTGGTGTAACTAACACGACTTTATTTTATATATATAGATATTTCAGTGGAAAAGCCATTACAATAGATTTATTAGAAGATAACATTCCGTTTTCAAGAAACATATTGATGATAATCTTTCCAAAGTATTTTTAAGGCAGTCGTCTGCCTGTTTTGTAACTCAAATCAAAAGCTAATTCTCATTTTAAATGAAAGAAAATTCCATTCACTCCTATTTATTCACAAGAACACTTATCTGTTTCGTCTCTTGCTCAATCTCATTCTCCTTTACAGGTCGGCCTCGGTTTCGCAGACACAGTGTACACGGAACACGTCGCAGAGAATTCCCCAAACGGCACACTAGTCAGGATCCTTCCTCTGCTGAACAAACGGGAACATTCTCCCGACACACCGCTCAAGTGTCGACTCACGGAGTCGTCGCAGAAAGGTAAGGTGGAAGGTATGCTAAATGAAGATATTATGAAGAACTTTTACGGTTCTCTTTCTAGGTTCTGGTTCTTCTTTGGTGGTTTTTCTTTTTTGTGTGGTTGTTGTTAATATTAATCTTAGCGAGTTTGGTTTTGGTTTAAACTCTTGTCTGTTGAAACAAAGATCTATGCGAGATACAATGTGTATTCTATTGTGTCTCATATATCGACAGACCAGACAAGTGGTTAAGTGTCTTCATTTTCTTCATTCAGACTGCACGGTTGGCGCGGTGGCTGAGCAACTGACTGCCGCGCAACGTGTTGCGGGTTCGATTCCCGCACGGAACAATTCTTTGTGTGATCCATAGATTGTTGTTCCGGGTCTGGGTGTCATGTGTTTGTGAACTTATATGTTTGTTAATGCACCCACGACACAGGAGAAAATCCTAGTGGGGCAACGTTTAAAAAAAAGGAAAAGAAAAAAAGAGAAAACATAAGAAAAATAAATAGCTATAAGTACTAAAAATCCTATACTTAAGTTAATTTGGTCTTTTTTAAAGTACTTTTTTAAGTCAAGTTAATGTAAAACTCAAGTTTTACATTAACTTGATATTAATAAGTTGGTTAAAGACTTGGTTTTAATAAGCAATCATTCTGATATGATCGGCCGGATAATAGCATCACGCGACCACCTGTTCAAAATGATCACACACACACACATATGAGACTATTTTCAGACATTAACTTGTACATACATAATATCTTCTATAGAAACCTTCTATGTCATCTGGTAACTCCTTTATAGAGTACATACATTATGTTATTATCGCAATATAAATTATCCTAAAACTATTGCTTTTTCCCTTCCACAGGAGTATTCTACGTAAAACTAACAGAAGAACGAGACTGCGCAATCTACCTCAACACAAGTTCCTTAGACTTTGAGACTCTTGCAGAGTATTCTTTGGAAGTCCAACTAGAATCTATACAGGGTCTAATAAACCCAGAGAATAGTAAGGCAACGATTAAAGTCCATATAACCGATGCGAATGACAACGAACCCGTATTTGTATTCCCTGAACAAAGTACTATAGCTACGGCGAAAGGAAAGTACTATGCTATTGTGAACAAGGATATGTTGCTTGGTACCCGGTTTTTGCAAGTCAAGGTGAGTTTTCATTGGCTTTCTATTTATTTTATAAGTCGTATTGTGATGGTAAAATAGATTACATTTAAATGTCACATGAGACAAACATCGGTATTTGTTTCGTGAGTATCGTATGATCCGACTTTAAGGCTACATACATTTATATGGACACTGCGCAGTAGCGTTGTCTAATAAAGAACTTACTGCGGTTTATTTAATGGGACAAGCCCGCCACCACCTCTCAGAACAGCTGCAACTCTTTAAGATAATATCAACAGTAGATACAACTATGAAAACACCGGAATCCTGAAGTCCGGTGCGTCCAAGGGACATAAAAAACTGTCATGGTTCCCGCAATGAAATATATCAGAAGATATTATAAGAGAAGAAGAAATAAAACTGCGTATTATAAGCCATCTCTGCCTGTAACATCGGGAAATAAAAGACGGATACGGTGTACGAATGCTCTTTGTGTATGAATTACGAAATTGCATAATATCAGCATATTATCTGAATCATACACTAGAAATGACAACTATTGAGTTCGAATCTTAATGTAACATTTTCGGTTCTTTGATGACCGAATCTAATAATAACTTTCAAATAAATCGCCCAAACAAGTAACTGTCCAATAGAAACAATTCTTTAGTGTATTGTCACTTGTATTACAAAATATTAATGTCTCGGGGAATTTATTAAAAAAAAACTAGTTTTTATTTAACACCTTGTCATGTTTTGTTATTTGTAAGTTCCATTTAATTCTACAGATATGTATAAGACGATTTTATATCCGAGGCCAACCTAGACGTTTACATTTCTAAACATTGTAAACGGTATTTAAATCAAACATTTCCCTAATTCCAGGCAAAAGACAAAGACAGTGGCGATTTCGGCAAAATAGTATACCACAAGAACTCCTGGACTAAAGCTGCAGAAGAGTACTTCAGTTTGGACGAGGATACTGGCGAAATAAGCAATATAAAGACGTTCGAGAATGTTCCTAAAGATGTACTGCCATTCAAGTTCAGTGTGACGGCACGCGACAACCCTAATTCTGCACAGGATTATAAAATTGCTCGAGTTTCTGTCGTGGTAAGTATTTATTAGATTTTAGAGAATAATATAGTTCTAATTAGAAGCACTTTATGAAGAAAATTCCTTGAAAAAGTAGCGATATATTGACATTTATTTTGTTCCTTCGACTGAAACCCACTTTATAGTCACTATTTATGCCTTTACATCAGTGTTAAAGGATAAAGATGTAAATAATAAATGCACTCTTTGTCTACTAATTTAAGGGTTATTTTTCTTTGACACTTGATGTACAGGTGTAGACAACCTAGATAATACACCCATTGCAATGAGGCAAACATCTTTTAAGCTAGCACTTAATATAATGTAATTGTCAACTCAGCCTCAACTGTCCGAATAATTAAAATTATTACTCTAATAAATGTGTCCTGTTATGGCAATAGGCTCACCCCCTATTTCATGGAACTCATAACATAAATAATGAAAAGTGGGTGTTACATTGTACAGTGGCATTAAGTGCCGTAACGTGCACCTTTGCCTACTCATTCGAGGATAAAACTCGTGACTCGTTAGGTTATATTAATAATTTCACAACTTTAATGCTACTATCTATCTTTCCAGATTAACCTTTTACAACCAGATAATCAACTAGTAGTTGAAGTTGCGGACCAGAATGCTGAAGCTATGCGTCGCAAATCTCGAAGCTTGCTCACTGCTATCGAAGAGAAGACTGGATTAGTCGCGGGATTAGAGAAACTGACTGCCAGACATTATTTAGGAGAGAATGGAACTCTTGAGAGTGATCCGAAGGGAACTGATGTTTGGTTGTACCTTTTGGATCCTGTCTCTGGAGAGATTTTGAGCAGAGATTCTAAGCCGGTGAAGAAGTAAGTGGCTTTTTTGTTGATAAAAAGATGTTTGTAGTTTGTTCATTTGATAACATTTGCTGTAAGATGTAAGAAAATTCAAGTCCTGTATCGTAATAGAATCGATTGTATGATTGTATTGTCGGTTTTAGCAGCATCTTATTTATTCGATTTATTAAAAATAAAAACACATATAGATATGTGCACTTTTATCGCATAGTGCCCTCCAGCTAGGTGGAGTGACGTTATCCACAAAGTAATTGGTAGTGGTTGAACGCAAAGGGCTGCAGATCGAGCTCATTGTCGTGGTTTCGGGGAGGCCTATGTTCTTAATGGACACTGGTCGAAAACAGACTAGATGATGATAATGATTATATTTTTTATTGCTCCAAACTAGGATTTTCACGTGTCGTGGGTGCGATTACAAATATACAATTTTACACATAACACCCAGACCCGGAACAACAATTTGTAAATCACACAAAGAGTTGTTCCGTGCGGGAATCGGACCCGCGACACGTTGCGTGGCAGCCCAGCTATCGCGCCAACCGTGCATTCAAATATCTAGGGGTGTATCAAAAATGTATTTTGACATTACAGAGCTGTAGACGAAGGCATGCACAAGGCAGTAGCGAGCAGCCTGCAGTCGCAGGTGTCCCCGGCGCGCGGCCCGCTGGCGCCGTCGGAGGCGCCGCGCCGCCCGCAGGTGGCCGCCGCGCCGCTCGCCACCGCGCTGCCCGCCGCGCTCATCGCACTCGCCGCCGTCGTACTCGTCGCTGCTATCGCCGCTACCATCTATATTTGTGCCTCTTGGAATAGGTAAGTTGGAATACTGCAGGCATATATTAACCCGTCGAGCGTGCGCGTTCCTTATGCATGCAAGAAAATACATTTATTTGGCCATTGGCACACGAAAACAAGGATCATTACAATAGAAATAAAACAAATACAGTCAAAATAAAAACAAAACATTAATAATAGATTTTATAAAAGAGAAAGCAGCATGGAGCATATTTTCTTATGATCCACCGGGTGCTTATAAGGACTCTCGAGGGGTTAATAGCAGGCAGAGTTGCACATTCCGGCACTTAATGTTACTGTACAATGTAACACCCACTTTTCACTATTTATGTTATAAGTCCCATGTAATAGTAAATTGAAATAAGTTTTTCTAATTATTATCCATGGTGATATCTACGGCCAACTTACTGTAACTGTTTGGTACAGAATTGTTTAACAGTATTACTTACTTATAAACAGTAGGCACTGTCGTTAGGTAGGGGTGTTACTTGATTAAGAGGCCACAACTAGAACTGACAGAAAGTTTTGCGAATATTATGCTGGCAACCTTGAAAATGTTCTAGATCCACACTAGAGATCTTATCTAAATTTTCTATATCTTGGTTTCGTTTACAATCATATTTTCAAATACAAAATCATCCCCGGAAAAATTTGCGCAACTGTCTAGTCTAGTCTGTACACCACCAGTGCAATCGAACTTAAATATGGAATGTTTTAAAATCGATTCTCTTGCTTATAACATAACCATTATGAAATTTATGTATCATATTGTATGTTATGTATTATTCATTTTTGAGTGATATTAATATTCTTGTATAGTATTTTATACAATTACTAGCTTCTGCCAGCGGCTTCGCCCGCGATCCCAGGGGTAAAATGCCTATGTATTACTTCAGACCATAATCTACCTATATATATAATTTTTAGAATTAATATAATTTTAAGGAGAATATTTCCGTCATACATGATTTCTATGCAGCTTTAACCTATAAGCCTGCACACGCGACGGAAGCTTAAAAAATGGAGTAACTTCTCCCGTTTTCCCAATATTTCCCTTCACTGCTCTGCTCCTATTGATCGTAGCGTAATGAAAAGTATACTATAACCTGCCCAAGAGTATGAAGAATAATTGTGCCAAATTTCGTTAAAATCCATCGAGTAGTTTTTGTTTCCATAACGAACATACAGACAGACAGACAGACAGACAAAAATTTTACTGATTGCATTTTTAGCATCAGTAGCGATCCCTAACCACCCCTTGATAGTTATTTTTTAAATATATTTTATGTACAGAATTGACCTCTCTACAGATTTATTATAAGTATAGATTAATTATTGTACACTTGACGACCCATATCAGACTATTGCTGCTCCATCCAAAGGTTGTTTGTACTATAAGAAATTACCTTGTGCGTTGAGACCGCTTATTGTACACTATTTTGTTAGATAATATTGTCCTGTAGTACGATTGTGTGGTGTACAATAAAGCATATATTATTATTATTATAAACATTTTAAAAAACAAATTCACAGATACAAAAAGCACAAAGAACAGGCGATACAGCAATACGGCACGCTAAGTATGAGCATGCCAACACCGCGGCCAGCGTCGGGCTACGAGTCCAGCGAGGACGAGCCGGCGCCGCGGTATGAGACACAGGTAAATAAACGAGTATGTGTCATTTTCACCTCATTCGCATGGTAACTTGTATGGCTTCTGCATGCGATGTGAAAAGAGTAAGTGGTTTTCTGTTAGTCTGTTTTTCTATTTATCTTTGTTGCATGATTTCTCTTGAGCGGTTTAAAGTTGCATTATCGATTGAGTGATCCTTATTAATTTAGATTCATCGACCCCGCAGTCAAACCATTGCAACGGTTTTGTGGGGCTTAGATTATAAAATACTTACCTGTGTGATATAATAAAGCGAAATATAAAAACTAAAGGTATGTTATAGAATTTTCTGAAAAGATACGTCTACTAAAGCAAATGATAATCAACTAAACATCGCGGGTTACTCACGTGAATATAATGAGGAAAGCTCGTAAGTGAGTAACCCGCGATTTTTACGTAATTTAGTAGGTCTCACTTAATTTAGTTAGTATAAAAAAAATGATAATTTTCTTAAAAAAGAAATTGTAGTATTATCATCGCATGAGTCATAAACAAATCTCCGACCATCATACTATTTCGTTCACAATTTCTTCTTCTTTCATTTCATCTTCATCAAATCTGATACGAAAATCGCTAAAATAGTCACTCATTAGTTTAGTTCTTTATTAAATAATCTTTACATTCCTAACATAAAATTTCTGTTTATAGGTTTTAAACATGGCGGTTGATGATGCTGACTTGCAGTTAGACTTCAGTCCAAACAACCACGCATTCAACATACACAGTGTGCAATATATGTCCAAAGAAAACGGTAAGTTAAAGTTAACTTAAGTATTGTTGTAAAATGATAATTAATTATTCATGGACTGTTACATAACTTAAATTTTGAATTTTATTACCTTCCAATAAGGTAAATAATTATTTGTTACAGAGCGATCCTTTCTTTCATGACTACTTCTATCTCTTGTATAGAGACATACATGTGTATTTGCTCAACAGTGAAACTTTTTTTTGAAAATGTTTATAGAGGTAGAAACATACGGCGTCGGGGATTTTAGGCTTTTCGCTCCCTAGGCACTGGCTTCCTGCATAGATAACTAACACCTGTAACTAAGGCTGTTATTATGTGTCTATTTCAGGTGAACGTAGTCCAACGCTCTCGGAGACAGCGACGACGGCGCGCGCATCCAGTGTCAACGAAAATGGAGGAACTCTGAACAACATGCACAGTAGTCAGGTGAGATATATTATATGTTATTAGAGTTTTGGATGGAAGAACGTATATAAACCACTAATAAAGGTCGCCTGAGGCTGCTGGATGCAATTTTCTTCCAACCGGTCAATCTGGAATGATTTCCAGATCGGCCAATTAACAGAGAGGGCTTAGTACGATTTGTCTTTCGTTTAATGGGATCGAAACGTTACTGAGTTCGGTCCCCTGATTATTGACATGTTTCAATGAACCAACCAATCAGAAGATTAAACATGGTAATGTTTCTATCCCTCAGGTCTATGTTCAGTTGTGGACGTCTTGCGACTGATAGGATTATGATATACTAGCTTTTACCCGCGGCTTCGCTCGCGTCACAAAAGAATAAAAAGTGGCCTACGTGACATATACCAATACATACAGCGCCATCTATACCAATACTTTTGTTTTTCCTCGGGAATATCAATTTTTTCCGGGTTAAAAAGTACCCTATTATTTAATCCGGACTTCTAACTTTACGTCTGCAAAAATTGAAAGCTATCGGTTGAATAGTTACGGCGTGAAGGTGGAACAAACAAACAAACTCACTTTCAGATTTATAATATTAGTAAGGATAACTGTGTCATCACATACTTGTCGGTGTGGTCGTGATCACTTCAGTAATCGAAACGAGTATGCGTTCGGCGCTGTGATTGGCCGGCGCTAATGAACCAACTAATCAGAGCGCCGAACGCGATCTCGTTTCGATTACTTTAAACGTAAAACAACATCGTATTAACGCCTCAGAAGTCTAGACAGTTCATTGTCGTCTTTCCTGCACTGCACCTTTTATTTCTTCGATATACTGTGACTAATAGATTTTAATATTGTAGGTGTTCGAGCCAATAGCCAACAACTCGGCACTAAGTCGTAATACGCAAACGTTAAACCGTCGCGCGGTGGGCGGCCCGCACCCGCTCAACAACGCGCTCGGCACCCTGCCGCGCGTCAACAACAACCACGCGCCCGCCGGCCTACTGGCCACCACGCTCGGACGGAAGATCAACGGTGGGAACAACCATAAGAAGAAAGCTACTCAACCTATCATGGCGTACGATGAGATACCTGGGTTACAAAGGTTTGTTGTGTAGTTTATTAACATACTAGCTTCTGCCCGCGACTTCGTACGCGCAATCCCATTTTCCCCCCGTTCCCGTTCGTGATTTTTGGTAAAAGTAAAAAAAAATATATAATTAGGTAAAAAGTATCCTATGTCCGTCTCCTGGTTCTAAGCTAAGGCCCCGTCAATTTTCATCCAAATCGATTTAGTCGTTCTTGAGTTATAAATAGTGTAACTAACACGACTTTCTTTTATATATAGAGTATAGATTCAGTATTTGTTAGTATACGGAGCCGTAGAGGACTTAAATGTGTTGCTGGGACTCCGGCTCGAAGGGTAGGAGTAAGAACGGGATGGTTTTTAGTCAATAAGGGTCTTTTTTTAAGGGGGATAATCGTCCAATGACTACTTCCGCCCGGGTGAGGCGGGAGGGAGTATCAGACTCTTACTGACTAAAAACTACCCCGTTCCTACTCCTGCACTTCAAGCCGGAGCCCCAGTTACCCGTAGTCAATAAGGGTCTGACACTCCCTCTCGCCTCTCTTAGGGCGGGAGAAGTCACTGGATTTTTTTTATATATATTTGATGGGCCGACGTTTGGCCACTCTCTCGTCTGCTGGTAAGCAATGATGCGATCTACGGTGGAACATCTCTGCCTCCTATAAGCAACCTATTCACTTGGGCCTTTAAGGGGAAGACACTCAGACTTTGACAAATAATTCCACTTCTTAGCAGTACGTACAAGGAAGCTTGATGCGAAGTGCTTCGTGTATGTGGGTGGGACATCTACCATAAATCGGTGACGCTTCGTCGATTGTCTTGTGGTACAATGATGGAATGGATGATTTTCCGCCCTCAAAAAATATCTGTTTACAATTCCAGACTCCGTACTACTACTGAGTTTTTTTTTAAATCCCAGTAATACTTTGCCCGACCCGGGAATCAAACCCAAGACCCCTTGCCCGGCAGTCGCACTTGCGACCACTCGGCCAACGAGGCGATTGTGTGATTACTATTACATGATTATATTTTTTCTAACCTATTTTTAGTATCCATAGACCATTTGTGACTCCATTAGTAACAATACCTTGTAACTCATACCTTATAGTAACTATTGATCATTTTATAAAAACTCATGAACTGCTAATCGTAATAATAGATTCTTTTATTCCAGGGCATCAGACAACGATAATGTAACGTTCGGTAAGAGGAATTTTACCGGCTACAACTACGACCAGTCGCCAGTGGAAACTACCACGGAATTATAAACCTTAACTCGAAAGGCATAGTGATAACATTTCCTTTTTCCAAGTGTTAACAAACAGACGAAAGTGACCTTAAAGTGAAATAAAGTGAATTCCGTCCGAAGAAATTTTAATATTTTCTTTTGGAAATGTGTAACGTTTGTGTTCAACGAATATAAATAATTATCTTCGCGTTACAAATACGACTGAACTCTCGAAATAATATAATAAAGTTTATAATGTGAATAACGAATTTTTAGATAATTATATTTTTGTACTTAATTAAATGATAATTGTAATTTCTTAGCCAAGGCTAGTCCCTGTTTTTATGAACAAAATGTGCATAATAAATATGTAAATATGGCATTACACGGTGATGTATATTTTAAGGTACCTGAATTGTAAATGCAGGTACAAAGACTACTGTACTTTACTATTTTTGTAAATCTATTTTTACGCGTTGGCCGAGTAGTCGCAAGTGCGACTGCCGGGCAAGGGGTCTCGGGTTCGATTCCCGGGTCGGGCAAAGTATTACTGGGGTTTTTAAAAAAAATCTCAGTAGTAGCACGGAGTCTGGAATTGTGCCCGGTATATGGCAATAGGCTCACCCCCTATTACATGGGACTCATAACATAAAAGTGAAAAGTGGGTGTTACATTGTACAGTGGCATAATGTGCACCTCTGCCTACCCCTTCGGGGATAAAAAGGCGTGATGTTATGTGTATTTTTACGCGTCTCTGGCAAAGTGCCATCTATACTTTCATACATTTATTACGTAAATACCGTTTATATTGGAACCAATGTTTGTTCTGCTACTTTTGTAAACAAACTGACTGCCTTATGAGACCAAACGTTGGATCCAATGTTGGCGCCAGATATTTTTAAATTAGGTATAACTTTAATCTGAAGTTTTAAATTTCATTCTTAAGAACAAATCTTTCTACTTCTTTACATATTCTTTACGAATTTTGTGCCAGTTACTGTTAAAAAGTTATTATAAGGGTTTACTATTTGTCTTTACTTGCGCCTGACTAGTCGCTGAAACGCGAACTTTCTCTTATTTGTTTTTAATAAGAAAAGGAACATTTTTAACCCATGAACGTGCATAGGGCGGCGTAGACATTTAAAAATAAAATAAAGTTAGCATAATGAATTAAAATGCTCAGTTTTTTATGGATATTTTTTATTAATTTTTGAATCTGGCTTGTTTATGTGATTTGTGCCAAACCGATACTAACCAATTTTTATTTATTCCGTATTCGAGAGTAAAATGTTACCTAATGTAGTGTCACTTGTATATCTTGTAAAATAATAATTAAATGTTTATTTTGATTGTGAAGAATAAAATTGTATCATAATTTTTGTGGTAAAATTGTTAATATAATATTTGAAATAAATTAATTTTTATTATCATCTTTTGTTTTCTTTCTAGCTCCCAGTGCACTTCGACGTTTTTTATAAATAATCAAATTTAAACTGGTGTTAGAGGAAAATCCTTCTTCGAGATAAATCCTTCTTAGAGGAAAATCCTTTTCAGCCTAGTACATTTGTGCGATGACGTCAGCTGGAAGGGTTGACAGGAGTGACACGAGAACGGAGCAGTGCTATGCAGCCGTTCCCTCTTTTGCGTTGGCGCTCGGACGAGATGGTTGTGTGGTTGTACTCTCAAGGGCAATTTGGAACATTAGTGACCGCTAGTCTGAATTATAGTTATTTGTAGTTTTGTTACTTTTAGTTCTCGTTTAGGTTATTTTGCTTATGTTAAAATTGTAATTAAAGAGAGGTTAGGACTGTCAGTGTGTTTCTTTTTAAAAAACTATATTTGATAGACGTTTCTAAGATCAGAAGTGGGATCATTTACTATCATTTACGCGACTTTGATCGTTCTCCATCCTCTTATTTTAAAAAACTACGTGGTCGATCAATCTTTTTCTAGTAGTTTGGTGCTTTGTTCTTTTTGTAAATAGTTGCGGTTAGTAATTATGCCGAGTAGTGATTATTCTGGTGGTGAAACGCCACCCATGCGTCGAAATAGGAGTCGTGATAGTCGAAAACGTAGGCATGGTTCACATAAACGCCGCGACCGTCGTTCAAAACGACGCGATCCGTTAAATCTGATTTTGCAAAGACTGAATGCCCTTGAGGAGCGCCTGCCGGTAACGGCGACTAGTTTGACCGCTCCGTCTCGTCCTCGCGTTCGAAGCAGCCCCTCGGCCGTGGTCTTGGACGTCACCGAGACTGCTGCTGAGGTTGGCGTGGCGACACCCTCTACGAGCCAGCTTGCGGAAACGCCACGCGATACCAGCAGCATGGCGGATGGGATTGTCTGGGATTGTCGGTGCACTCTCTTCATTGTTAAACGTAAGATCTATGCATTACTACATTTTGAATTTCGATCCAAGTGTGCATGATTTTGATGTGTGGTGTGCGGAGGTAGACCGAGGCCGAAACTTGAACGGTTGAGATGATTATGTGTGTTTTGGGCGTATTGCTGGTTGCCTACGCGGTGACGCCAAAACGTGGCTGAACCATTGGGTAACAAGCGATCGCTTGTGGTCGAATTTTAAGGCCGAGTTCCGATCGTTGTGTCCACGTGAAGTTGATATAGCAACTGTGCTGTATGAAGTTATGAGTTCAACGTCTGACAAGTTTACTACGTATACAGAGTACGCTCGAATGTCCCTACTGCGATTAAATATCGTACGAGGGCTTTTGGATGAGCTCAAAACCGCCATAGTAATTCGTGGCATCTCCGATCCTCAAGTGAAAGCCGCGGCTACCAATGATAAACTGCAGCCAAAAGATTTGGTCGAATTTTTGTCCGTGTACGTTAAACCTAAGAATACGCAAAGTGCTACCGGTAATCCCATACGCTCGTCAGCTGCTGAAACGTCCAATCCTCGTAACTAGGAGAGGACAGGCGACATGTTTCTCGTGTGGTAAATGCAGTCACAAATAAGCTGATTGTTTTAAAAGATCAAAAGTTCAGCTACTTCTAATTCTAGATTTACTTCCTCTGAGACTTCAAATGTTGAAGAGATATGAAGTCTAATTCAAAACCAGTTACAGTGATTTGCACCTATTGTAAGAAAACTGGTCATCTTGTTGGTTCATGCTATTTAAAGCAATGAATGGATTCTAAGTCCAATGATAAAAGCAATAGTGACGTAAATTTTTGATTGATTTTGGGTTTGATATTTCACTTATTTCTAGATCGGTTTTAAAGCACTTTAGTTTTAATCAATTGCCAACCTGTCGTAGATTGCGAGGTATCGGCAGTTAAGATATCGAGTCTACTTCTTTTGTTAAGACTATAATTGAGTTCCTTGAATTGTCATTAGAGGCGGATCTTTATGTAGTACCACCAGATTGCATTCAGGCACCTGTCTTGGTAGGGACCGACATTTTAAATCGAGAGAGTGTCACCAACATTAGAACGAGTGACTCACAACGATTGATGAGAATTGATCAAGTGTACAATGTGTTGTCTGTGGAGCTGGCTGACCAAGTGAAGACACCTTTAGTCGGTGATGACAAGAAACGTTTGTTATCTTTGATTGACGAGTTTTCTGGAACGTTCACCACTGGCACAGCGACCTCCACAGTAAACACAGGGAGCATGGAGATTAGGCTTAGCAGTGAAAGTTTGATAAGTTATCGACTGTACAAGCTTTCTATAGACGAGAAGTTACGCGTTCGCGGCATAATTAGTGATCTTTTGAGTAAGGGCATCATACGAGAGTCCCAATCAGACTATGCAAGTCCTATCATCCTCGTAAAGAAAAAGAACGGGGAAGATAGTATGTGCCGTAGACTACAGAGCTTTAAACGCTGTCACTGTTAAAGAAAGATTTCCATTACCACTAATCGATGACCACATCGATAAATTGGGCAACGCCAAGTATTTTACCAGTCTAGATATGGCCACTGGCTTTCATCAAGTACCAATGAAAGTCGATGCCTCCATTAGTAAAACTGCTTTTGTGACGCCTGAAGGGCATTATGAGTATTTCAAAATGCCCTATGGGCTGGCTAACGCCCCAGTCGTATATCAACGCGTTATCACAAAGACACTCAAGCATTTTATGGACACTGGCCATGTATTGACCTATATTGATGATGTACTGATCATGTCCAATTCAATCGAGGAAGGCCTAAAGATATTGCGTGAGGTTTTAAAAACTCTCTCAGCGGCAGGCTTCTCGGTCAATTTGAAGAAATGTACGTTTTTAGATCCGGAGGTTGAATACTTAGGACGGCTGATTGGGCATGGTCAGGTACGGCCGAGTCCGAGTAAAACTGATGCTCTAATTAAGTCCCCGAAACCCACAAATGTAAAAGAGGTGCGTCAGTTTTTGGGGCTGGCAGGTTATTTCCGCAGGTACATTGCTGGATATGCCTCGAAGACTGCTTGTATTGTCAAGCTACTGAGAAAAGGCGTGCCTTTTGTTTGGGGACCAGAACGAGATGTTGCGCTGAGCGACTCCCGTTCGAACCGAGAAGCCCTGCAGACTTTGAGAAGACAGAGGGTCTCGGAACTGCTTGCTGCCAATTAGCAACGACAGGACGCCTACGTTAATGAGGGTCGTCGAGTCGTCGACAACCCCGTACTTTTTCTGTTGGCAGTTTCGTGTTCGTCAGCAAGGGTTCACAAAGTACCGGCAAACTCGATTCCGGGATGCGTGGTCCGTACAAAGTTGTCCGGGCATTGCTTCATCACCGTTACGAGCTTGAGTTGTTAGCAGGCTCATATGGAAAAAAGACTCAGTGCGCTGCAGAACATATGGTTCAGTGGTGGGGTGAGTGGCTCCGGATACATGCGAGGCATTTTTCGGGATTGGTGAGAGCTCTGTTTACCTGGTGCCCTTGTGGGGTAGCCAGAACGTCACGTAGGTGACCATGTTTGTGTTTACCTGGTACCCTTGTGGTAGCCAGAACGTCACGTAGGTGACCATGTTTGTGTTTACCTGGTACCCTTGTGGGGTAGCCAAACGTCACGTAGGTGACCATGAGTGCGTTTACC